GGACATTTTGATCAAAGGTTTACCCAATTTCAAACCTACGTTATAGCGATGATCCTTGGAAACGATAGGGCGTACGAAGGGCATAAGTTGTGGCGCAGTCAGATCGGTTTTTCTTCCCATTTGCTGCGGACTCAGGATGGCATCATTGGTGGAAAAAAGCCATCTTGGCAGCGCTCCAGTCCACCCACGTCACATGCCCTAACGTTTGCAGTGATCGTGACTGTACATCTGCTCCTTTTGGATCATTTGACGTTTGTTTCAGCGTACGTTGTCCATCGGGCAGATGTATCCCAGAGACTTGGCAATGCGATGGAGACAACGATTGTTCGGATGGCTGGGATGAGACGCACACGAATTGCACCGACGAGACCGGAAAACGCATTTGCGTTGGGGAATATTTGTTCCAGGTCTGAAACAATTCATCAAATCAACTTTGTTTCTTATTGTAGAACTCGTTTATCCCTTTCATTTAACCCTTGAACCCTTTAGTGTGACAATGGCAAATGCATTTCCCGAGCGTTCATCTGTGACGGTGAAGACGACTGCGGTGACAGCTCTGATGAGCACACGAGGCATAGCTGCGGTACGGTATTCATTACAGTATGCTGGTGTACTGTATTGTTTTCTTCTCAGAATGAAGACATTCTTAGGTAACCGCACCTGCACTGACCAGGAGTTCCACTGCGTCTCGAATGCAAGACTGGCACAGCCGAAATACGAATGCATTCCGAAGGCATGGCTTTGCGATGGAGATGTCACCTGTGCTGGAGGAGAAGACGAGTCGGCAGAGTTATGTAAAACAGAGAAGAAGGTAATGCACTCACAAGTTATTAGTCAAGTTTGGCGCAACCACGCCCTCTTTTGAAAGCCACACCCTTTTGTACGAAATTCCGGAACCCTTTTCCTTCTTCTTAACTGAATCTGAGAATTTCTGCTTCTGGCGCTAATGTGAATAAGGGCGGCAGTCAGCGGTTCACCTAAGGCCGAATCCCTTTTCTGCTTGTCGTAGCCTCTTTGACCCCCACCAAAACCTTTCTATTATAAAAGCCATCCAGCTGAGAGGGTCAGACGAGCAGAAAATGGGCGTGGCCTAGTTTCAACAACACCAGTGCTATTCTAGGTAGCTCTCGAATTTATTTCCCATTCAGGAATGCAATAAAGGCGAATTCCGCTGCCAAAATCAGCATTGTATCCACCAGAGCTGGGAATGCGACGGAGATAATGACTGTCTGGACGGATCTGATGAGCATGCCAACTGCAGTAAGTTTAGTAATTTCTCGTCCACACGGAAGGGCGTTTGTAGATAGTAAAAACTGATTATTTGCAGCCTATTCGTCTTGCCAAGCGGAATTCTGGCAATGTGCTAATCACAAATGTATTCCGAATTCATGGCGATGTGATGGAAATGATGACTGTGACGACGGTTCAGATGAAAAGGACTGCTCTCAGAGTCAGAAGGTAGGTGGCAGTAGGAGCGTAGAGCCGTCGCCCTTGCCTTGAATTCTTGTGAAGTGTGGTCCGGCATTGTTCGGATTGGTGGGGGCATTTTGCTAGTTCCAATCGATCACTGCCGGTGCTCACTGTAGAGAATGTGAATTTCTGATACGATAAGCTGTGCAGGAACTTCGTTTACACTTGACAAGAGTCTAAAGGTATTACCAAGTTGAGGGGTGTAATTCAACAGGAACTGGCAGAACGAGACCAACAAAAGTGCAAAACGCTCCTCTCGAGCCGAACAGCGCCATGGGGTCGTATAAAAGACGCAGTACGTTCCTATCGTTTGAGCGGGTCCCAATCCACTCATGTGTCATCCTCTCCGGTTTGCCGCTCCATCTGATAAGACTAGAGAGGAGATACCGGCAAATGAGGATCGCACCATAGTGGGTCTGGCTCCGCCTACAGGATAGGCATGGATTATGCCTTCAAGTCATCACGGGAAGGAGCGGCTCCCGGCTTCAGCTATTAAGCTCAATTGTTTTAGGATATGGGCACAGGCCACCCGTTATGTCCAAGAGGTCAATACCAGTGCCTCAACGGTGACTGCATCGATGAGAAGAAGGTAATGCTAAAGATTACATTTTTCATATTTCCTACTACTTTACCGGTTTTAGGTCTGCGATCGTAACTACGACTGCACGGATCGCAGCGATGAGTCTTCACAGTGCTGTATGTTTTCCTTCTCTTCTATTCCACTTGTATTTTCTCTCTAATTTCTGATAGGATCCGACATGTACGGAAAGTTTTTTAGTCATCGACGAGTGTGCTCTAGCAGAGAAACCACTTTGTGAACAGAAATGTGTCGACTTGCCGATTGGCTATCGCTGCGATTGCTTCGAAGGATTCGCTATTGATATGGACGATAAGAAGAGTTGCCACAATGTGAATGAGTGCTATGGTAGGTGGATTTATTGCCTGCCGTTGGATTGGTCCGCTCGTGGGGTTGCGTTTATGCTTTGCGAAGCAGGAGAACCGGCGACGTTTTGGGAGATTACGAGCCAAAGGATTGGATGGCTATCATCGACTCCGATCGCTAGCTATATG